TCGTCGTACCAGCTGTTCTTTTGCACTTTCCGAAAACCGATGGTTTCGGTTGCAGCTCTACGTAAGGAGTTTGAAATGCTGTCCCCCAATTCCCTTATACCGAGTTGTTTACGAGTGCTCTCAAAGAGCAGGAGTGCAAGCCGAGTAGAAAATCGTTCGGCTGTCTGTTGTGAATGCTGCTTCTCGACGTCGAACCTTCCTTGCGTTTGTTGGCGTGCGTTTTTTGCTGCATAGAGGCGGGTGTGAATTTGCGCACCTTGCGAAAAGAAAAAATTACTGGGGCGCTGTTGTTAACTCGGATAACCGTGTAAGCGGTTTCTACGCCAGTTAAATGATGAGGATGACGAGAAAAGCTGAAATCCGGTTGACTAAAAATTTAGATATATCGACGAAACTTGGTATGTGGTTCTTTAGTATTTTGGTACAAAGAATCGCAGTAGCAAGGGGCACCTTATATATATCATAAACCATTTGGTTGTTGTACCAAAATTGCTGAGTACGAATCTTATAAAAATTTCTACTCTAAATTTGACCTCCGAGAGGGTATGAGAGGGTTTTATAGGAGCACGAGGGAAAATTGGACGATTGGACTTTTTGGTGAAACCCCATATCTCGGGACCTGACTGAGAATTTGGTACGTCACATTTCTATCATATTTCTTTAATACAGTGCGAAAATGGGCGAAATCGGACTACAACTGCGCCTACTGCCCATATAACACAATTTAAAATTGCAATAGATTTTTTCACTTTCCAGTACACAAATCAGGAAGTAATTATATGGTATAACTATATAAAACTTTGGATATAGGAACCGAGTTGACTTTTAATCGAAAATATAAGTCAATGTGTAAGATAAATGATTGAAATTATAGGATAATTCGTCTCTGATAATGATATGTCTGTATATCAAAAATGGATTGAATCGAGTTAATACTTGCCTCCATATACCTAATATATAGATTTCAAACTTGCGGGTGACTTTGTTCTGCATATATTGGCCAATATATGAGTTATCTCAAATGAGACAACATATTTCACTGATAACTTTGTGTCTTTGTATTTAAATTAAATATCAG